TTCACAGTAGTCAGCACCCATGGCTTGCAAGTCTGCGCTGCTTTTGGATTATCATTGGTGCATGGAAATCTTGGAAGGGAGAAAGACATGGGAGATTCGCAACAAAGCGTGTCACAAACGAGAGAGAATTGCCTTGGCATGCACAGGCAAGACTTCGCCGACAGGTCAATGTCTTCTCATGGGAGAAGTTGATGTGACGAATTGTTTGGTTGTTGGCTGCAAGCGTGGCATGTTCGTTTCAGCCCCCGAAGAGTCAAACAACTACATGTTCCTGAAGCAGAATGTCAAGAAACACCAAATTAAAAAGGTGTGTGACTTTCCGATTTTGAAATCATATGAAACAATCTTTGCTTGGGTTGTTGCCAATCCAGAGCCCTACGCCATTCCCAAAGAGTTGGCTGTTAAGCCTGGGTGTGTAGTATGGGCCACCATTGCTTAGGAGCCCAAAACTTTGTAGCAAGCGAACAAATGGATGTGAAAACAAGTGTTTTCCCAGCTTCAGGTGTGTATTGTCGTGCATTGTGGTTTTAGGATGTTTTTGCCTGGTGCACTTGTTGCGAATATTGAATGGCTGGGAGGATTGGCTCAGCTGTAGGCTGGAGTTGCTTGCGCCATGCCGCCAGCAAAGCGGAAATCAGCCGGTGGGGCGGGATCAAAGAACAAATCTTTGAAGTCAAATCCTGCTGTCAGCCAGCACCCGCACATTGCGCAGATCACTGATTGGTTTTCTGGCAGGATGAGTTAGCCTGTCACAAATCGAAATGGTTTGTTTTTATTTTTCAGTGTTGTGGTTTCTTGTCGTGTCGCGTGTCCGGCCACTAGGCTCCGTGATACGGTCCTCACTTCTGGTGGCCCTGACCGACATTTGAATGCCAAGTATGCTACCAAGGACAGGGTTGTCTGAAGCAATTCTCACCATGCTCACTTCAGAATCAGAAGGATCTTCCCAGTCATCTAGATGATGTAAATGACAAGTCAAAAAATATCATTGTATTCAAAGGATCGGCGGTTAAATTTTAGGAAAGGTGACGGAGGCTTAATTTTCCATGCGCCTGCATGTTGTGCAGGAGTCCAGGATGGGGTTTGCAGCTTGGTTGAACACAGCATTCCCCAGCGACGAAAGGCTGGGCATTTGGAAACATTTCTGGCATAAGAGTAGCGAAATTTTGCTCAACAAACGGTTTTTCACATGCAATGCCAGGGTATCCTACTGCCGTGAGATCTGTGCCGGCCCACAACTCCTCCGGCCGTACCATTTGTGTTGGAGAGCAGATTTCGGTTTGAGTTCGATGATCGAACCAGATGTTCTGCTGATGTTGGCAGAGCTATACCTGTCTGAAGGGTGGCTCAGCTGCCATGTGCCATGTTCCTTTTAATTTGAAAAGAGTGAGGTGGAACAAGTTTCTGAACCAAGCGCCAAGAGTCTTATAGAAGTCACATCGGGCATATCCAAGGTTTCGAACGGATCCTAGTCTCCCCGGGGTCGAAGCCTTGGCTGTGACTCAGCCAGACAGCGCTTTCCTGGAGAGCAAGTACACAGCATTGCCACCCTTGGATGATGCTTGTAGCCGACTCAGCATGTTGATGTGCCTGTCGTGCCAATGTGTTTGTCGCATCTTTTTGGCATTCCTGATGCAGCCTTTCAAATGTACAAGGATTTGGTTTATGTTGAAAACAGTTTGTCTCTATGAGGCGATCTGCCCCCACCATTTTCGGTGGGATTTGTGAAGGGTTGGAGACGCTCAGTGACGTGCTTGGTGGTTGCCGATGCAATTCGGGCCCTGGATATCGACTTTGCAAGTTTGACGCGAGAATACAAGGTGCATTTTGTTGCAAAAATTCAAGAGTTGCATCGTAACACGATGGTTCACAGAGCTAGTGATGTTGAAGATGCTCTGATGTCAGGTTCCTTTTTCCATCCCCAGTATCCTTTTCAGAACATGGGGTGCCTGCTGGCTAGGAGTCGATGAGGACCGTCCATGCTACGATGGGGCGGTATTCGCATGTCTCAGATCAGGTGCTGGCCACACGAGGTGGGCTGATTCTGCTGTGAGTGTGAATTGAATCCAAGTTCAATTTTGTGCTGTACGAATGGGCCACATAGCAAATTTGAAGACTTTTGAAGTTATGCCTCAGATCACACACTTGCTGTGGAGGCATCACAGCAAGTGCTGGCCTGCGACGTCCTCCCAATGCATTCAACTTCTTGAGGCAACACGAGGTATTGAGCCGTGCCGGGGTTGCTGACCAAACAGCTGCTGTGCCCCAGCTTTGATCTATGCAGGGTCTTGTCTCAAAGTGTGATTTATAAAGGGTTGGAATTTCCCCACTGTTTCATGCGAGCAATCTCCAGCGTGAACAGCTAAGTTTAAGTCTGGGACAGCGGGGTGAAAACATATTTTCAGTCTGTGCTCGAGCCGCCAGAGGCGTGGGAGAGTGCTGGTCAAGTGGCAAAAGCCTTTGCCATTGGACGTTTGGAAGCCGCTGCCGTCTTGAATCTGACCCAGAACATTCGCCACGAGATGGTTGTCCGACTACGAGACGCAGTCAGACTTCGTGGTATGCGTGCTTTTTGCACGCACGAGTGCATTGCCAAGGAGGTGTTCAATCTATTGTTTACTTCTGGAACTGGTGCTTTGGAGCCTTGGGCTGGGCAACTCGCCAACAGGGAGGACAATGCCATTGCATCCTGGCTGCTTTTAATGGCCGGGTTGTTACTGACATAATTTGGATCTTGTTTTCGTTCCTCAATGATTGTCATTATGCCTGCTAGATCGAAGTCAGCCCCATGCTGATTCTTTCTGTGCAATGAGATGCTTACTTGCGGTTTGTCTTGCTGAAATTTCAGGCATCATTGTTTAATTCAAACATTTCGAAACAGTTAAATGCGGATCAAATTTTTATGTCGGTGCTGTGCGCGCTTCGGGGCACTTGAAGGTGTCTTTAATGATCGACCGAATGTGTGGAGACTTTGACCGACTGCCAGTGGCATTGAGGAAACCTTGGGGTTTCAAAGACACTGTGGTGTTACATTCCGCATGTGGCGGCTTCTTGCATTTCATGCGTTTGTTGAGGGAGAAGGTCCCCGCAACGGAGTTTGCGAAGTTTGAGAAAACTATGACTGACCAATTCATGCTTGGTGTCCTCGACCCTGATATCCTGCATGCACTGGATGCAACGGCACCACCCTCTTCCCTGGATGCTGTGGGCTTCTTGAGGCCAGGCTGTTTGCCAGGGAGTTCCGTTGCCAACGAATTGTTGGATGTTTGGATCATGGGGTTCATGACCCTTCTCATGTTGTTGCTGCAAAGTGATGTCAGTTGAGTTTCTCCATTTCTTACAGGAATGTCGCGGTTGAGATCGACAAGCAGCTCGCTCGGGAGCTGGAAGAGAAGGACAGGGAACTTGCGGAGCGTGTTGCTGAGGCCACGCTGGCGCAGTTGAAGTCACAGATTATCACCGACATGGAGATCCTCAAGCAGCTGCTTCCAAGCCCGGACAAAGAGGCCCACGAAGCAAGTCTGGACATAAAGTACCTCCAGAAACGTCAGCAGACCCTCGCTGTTCAATGATTTTCCAGTTGCATTTGCTCCCTGGTTTAGTGTTGGGTCCATATTGCCAGGATATCATCATGGCAAAAAGTGTTTGGTCCAGCACGGATTTGTTTCCCTTTGTTTTCGACACGTCCGGCCCAGGAAGGGGCAGGAGTACGTCAAGAATTGGATGGAGAAAAACTGCAAGTTTTCCATTGTGGCCGAGAATTCCATGGCCAACCCAGTTCGCGATTTTTCCAAATTCACTTCAGATCAGCAAACCACGGGCATGATGTCCCTGGGAAGCAGAATCTTTTTCCACAGCATGGCCCCTTCCAAAAGTTTGATGGTCTTCTAACAAACCTAAGAGTAACAGGAGCATTTGAGCCACGTTTTTTGGCAACAGCCTCCGCGTAGCAGTGTAGGCTGCAGGTACACTCCACATAATAATATATAGCCTTAACTTGATGGGTTTACAGGGCCATGCATTTAAAAGCACACAGCTCACTTGGCATTCAATGCGTTCATGTGTGCGGTTTCCTGAGGTACACTCTGGCAGTTCTGGACGCCACTGTCTTCCCAGCCAACGGGATGGTCATGAAGTCTGCACTGGAGACCTTGGGCTTGGTTTTGAATCTGGGGCCACAGAACCTTGGGCATATCCAGCTACCCATCTCGCAGAGCAACACAACTTCTGGTGCAATGGTCAAACACAGACGCACAATAGAAGATTTCTTCCTGTCCAATGCGATTGACATCTCGCAGCCTGTGGGATTACATCTGCGGAAGCCGGCAGATGCCCACGCTTCGGACAGGCGTGGCTGCTTGCAAGGTTGCTTGGCCGTTTGTCAAGATTCGAAAAAAAGTTCATGGATACCGCCAGTGTTGATTGGCCCCCTGGACTTGGTGAAAGTCTCGGACATGATTGGCTACGACGCGGATCAGCGACCAGGCGCCAGTGCCAGGGCTGAACAGAGACTTGGATGATGTTTTTTGATTATCGTTGATTTGTGAATGAGTTCTGATGTTTGGTCAGTTTGGTCTAATCTATCCATTTTCTACGTGGGATTGATGCTTACTTGCCGGGAAATAACGTCACCTTGGACGATACTCAGGAAGGGTGTGGCGGTCCATGCTGCCATCCTTGAAGCTTATGCACGCGGAGTGGAGCTGAGTGCAGATGACAAGCTGGTTTGTTTCGACCTTCTCCCAAACAGGTGGGGCTTTCAAAATTTCCCATGCTGACAATCAGGCTCATGTTATATTTGCGCCATTTGATTTATTCTGTGGTTTGATTCTGAATGTTCAATGGGTTTGGAAGTTGGCCTATAGGTATGCTGAATTTGCAAGGGCCGTGGTCCAACGCAGATTGGAGCGCAGACAGCCAGAATTTGCCTACTTCGGAGTGATCAGAGAGAACCAGAGAGACACAATTATTGCCTTGGAGGAGCAAGTCTTCAATGCGTGGGACAACGGACCTGAGGCGCCGCCAAAGACTCGAACCAGGGATGCAGCTGGCACACCAAATCTCAAGATTTTGATTTGGAATGATGGTGCGCCAAAATTTCCAGATCATGTCCTCACCAAGTTCCCGGAAGGAACGAGTCACAATGCAGAGATCAAGAAGCTCCAGGCTGAACTGGAAAGTGATTGGCCAGCGACCAGGACTGGGGTTCCGTCCAACCCTGCTCCGAGCAGAACTCAGAGCCGAGCCACAGGATTGCCAGATTTCACTGGCGAAGATGTTTTGGAGATCAGCCGCGAAGTGGATCTTGCAAAGCTGTCAGCGGACGATTTCAATGTGGAGCAGTTACCCGATTTATTTATTGTCAATCTGATTCAATTTAGGAATAGCCAGAGGACCCAACTGTTCCCAGGTTACCATGTTCGGTTCTGACAGTCAACAAGCCGGCGTGGTGCTGGCCTTCGGTTGAGGTAGGCTAGGTAGTTGTTTTATAATACTCTTCAACTTTTTTGTGCGATTGCCATTCCGTAGTCGTTGTAACCATCAGGTTGGCAATGTGCCCTGCCAGAGCTGGGAAGCCTGCCATTGTGATCACCAAAGATTACAAGTTGTACATCGGAAACCTCACGGATGAGGAAGCCCTCTTCCAGGCGGGTGAGCTCTTCGGATTTAACTTGGGCACTTTCGAGATCAAGATGGTTGGAGGTTACTTTGAATGGTTTGAAAAGATTTTCTTTGGCCAATTTTGGCCAGCTCCTTTTAAAACCAGCTGCCATGTTACTTTGCAGTCCTTATTCAAGATATCTTTTGGGACTGCAGAGGACAGGGCCACAATGAGACCCACACCTTGCCATGGATCTTGGACTCTGACATGATGCTGGTTGCGTATGACAAGCAGCCGATGCCATTGTGCATGGCAATTTGTAAGATTGCCCGTGAACGCGGATTGGGTGAGCTTGGAATTTGGGACCACACCTTGACCCAGAAGACCCGACAGGTTCCTTCTGATAATGAGTTTTGTGGTGTGGGGTTCTATTGGTTGAGTGTTTTTTTTGGCAAACACATTTCAACATCTTTGATGTGAAATTCGTTGGCAAATAAATCTAATAAACATCTATGTCAAAATCCATGATGTGAAACTGTGTCAGGTGGCCGGCGTTGAGGGGGAGTCCGGTGAGTCGCTGATGATCCCCTACAGGTATGATGTGGCTATCCAAGATGCTGGTAGGACGAATTGCTTCAAACCCAACCCTTTGCCAGCTTCGTGTGACCATTTGAACCACAAGCCCAACACGCTGGGTGCTGTCTACTTGGGGGAGATGGGTCGCGTAGCGAAACAGAAGGACAACAAGATTGTTTCCCTGGTGTGGGAAGTGCCTAATCGTGTAATACTCAATCTTTTTGATGTCAAAGTTCCATGGAGTTTTTTGCAAGGAGACCCTGCTCTCCTCTCATCAATGTCTTTGTGATCAGGTGCAGATCCAGCCTGGGTCAACAACTCCAAAGCTGATGCCGACCAAACCAAAGGTGTATCTTACCGCCTCAGTTCGACTTCCAGCGAAAACTTGGGCGAAGATCGGATGATAGCGTCCATACTTTTTGTGCCATGATGTGAAGCGCTGCCTTGGCCAATCCTCTTTTGACGGGTCTCCAATCTGATCTTTAGAATCATATAATGGCAGGTTAACCGCTCAAAACCCAAAGCCATGAGTTCAAAATTGTCACAACAAACAACTGGTGAGAGTTTGTTTCCTCTAGGGAGACCCGCTTGGACTTCTGTCTGCTCCTGGGGCATGAGTTGTGAGAGCCTGGATCTCTTTGAATTTTTATCAGTTGGTGCCATGTTTTTGACAACAAGAATTTCCAGTGACCACAACTTCAATGATTGAATGCAGCTCAGCCCGTGCCATGCAGCCACCGCACGGCTGTCCTATGAAACCGTATGCTGGCAGTTCACATATGTCCCAGCAAAAAAAATCATAGTTGTGCTTTGTTCGCAACAATCTTGGATCACTAGTATGTCTTTTCCCTTACTGGTATTGAAATCTTTCAGCTACATTGATCTGTGATAACTTTGCCGAATCACAGGAATGTGCCGGCTCTATCCCACGTTTAGAAAGAGCTGCAAAGTTCTGTGCCTTAAAGTTCGCTCGGCTGCGTTGTGTACGCAGTATAGCCATGGGATTGCTGCCCGCAGTCACCAAATTCAGTGATGAGGAATCTGAAGAGGACCAATGCCCGTCATTGTTATTATTTCAATCCTGTCAACTTCTTTTGTGGTCAACTGAGTCTTATATAATATATAATAGGTCCCCCAAGCTTCATTCAGGTTTCCCTCCACCGAAGCCGCAGGAACCAAGCGGCAGTCAGGGCATGAAGCGGCCAGCTGCTGCATGTGAAAGTGTTCCTGAGGACAACGGTAGCACTGTGGCAAAGCGACCGGCAGCAAAACAACCCAAAGGAGCGGCCAAAGCAAAGGTGCAAGTCCAGGCCAAAAAAAAGGTTAAGGTAAAGGCTAAGGTGACTGAGAGCACAGAGCAAGATGATGGCGAACAGGTAGGAGCAGGAACGGAAAGCATGGACAAACAACAAGAAACCGACAGTGAACGGCCAGATGGACAGGTTGAACCAGGCAAGGAGACACAGGTTGAAAAGCCAACTACAGAAGAAGCAGAACCGAAGAAAAAAGTTACCAAGACGCTCAAACGACCTGCTGCAGCCAACACAGGCCCTTCAAAATTTGTAATGCGCACCTTGACAGTGGCAGTTTTGATTTCTGTTGCCCGCAGTTCTTCAAGTCATGTTCCATTTCAACGACTCAGAATCAAAATACTTTGTTTCACGCAACTCTAAGACATGATGGCAGGCGAGCGATCGGTGAGCAAGGTGTATCAGTACGCAAACTCCAATGTTTGGGCAGTGAAAGTCAATGGCAAGGAAGTGTTCGCAGTGCCTTGACATGTTGTCCCCCTTTGTTCCTTTAGCTTTCAGGTTCAACATTCAAAATTCAATTCTCTGGTAAAGCTTTCCTCTTAGAGTGATGTTGCCGCTCTGCCGCTCTGCAGCCCAGAGGCCGGTGGAAAGCAGTTGCCAGCAGAGGAGCTTCGCAAAGCTCTTGTCCAAGCCTCTGTGTGACAGCCGGATGGAGTCAAATAAAGTCAAACATGATGACTGACCACGCAAACTACCAAGTAAGGAAATCGTGAAGGACCACTTGGTCAAGGGTGATTCGATCGATTTCTGCAGGGCACTTGGTGTGTGCATCTCAGGTGGCATCATTCCAAAATCCAATGCATTTCAAACTCTTAAACTTGTATTAATTATCTGCATCGTTTCTGTTGAGCGGGGATTTTACTTCAACTAGGCGAGCCTGAAGAAGCAAATTGTTGAGAAGTTCGGACCAGGCCCGGACATTCAAACGTATCTATATTCCTTTCGGTCCAAAAGTTTCACTATTTTTCGAGCAAATTTCTTTTTCATATGAATTATTATGAACATTTTTTGCCACTGTTGCAGGGAAAGCCAAAGAGAAGCCTGCCGCCAAGCCAGCTTCTGCTGCTGCTGCTGCAAGCCAGCAGGAATCGCAGCCTGAGCATGATGCCGGTGAGGGGAACCAGGGAAACCAAGAAGAAGGAGAAGAGGAGGCGACAAAGGAGGATGACCCGGCTCTGGAAGATGACGGTGATGGTTCTGATGCCAAAAACGTTGACTGAGGGAGTTTGGTGCAAACAAGTTGCCACTAACCCTAGAAATTGCCCAGCTCCAAACAATAAGTTGTGCAGCTGTCTTGCAGACATGGTTTGGGCCGTGTGAAAAGCACAGTAAAGCTGCAGTTGATTGATGGGTGTGGTGCATACCAAATGCAGCTGTGACCATCATCTCAGCACCATTGCAATGTGTTTACAGCTTTTTTTTTCTCCAAAAGACGCACAAATTACATGACCAATAATTACAAAAGGCTTTTGGCTCAGACCGCAAATTTAATAACATGAAGCGTGCAGCGTCAAAAGTTTTCGACAAGCAGCCAGAGAAGAAGCACGAAGGCATGGCCATGCCACTAGCGTTGAAAATATGCCGTGTTCCAAGCACTGTTCCAAATTTACCTTGGCTAAAGCAGGGCCGCGTATTTCCGAGCCGTATTTCAACAGCAAGCTCAACTACTGGGGCATCAAAGTCAACGAGAAGGAAGAGATCAAAGCTCTTTGCCATGGCTAATTAGGTGTTGTTAGGTCCAAGCCATTTCCATGCCAGTACATCAAAATCCATCAAGGTTGCCATTGGCCCCAAATCAAATAAAAAAATGACAGGCAGTGGCATTAGCCTGATGTTCGAACCACTCTGCATGAATTTTCCTCGCAGTGATCCAAGGTGGGGGGAACTTTTTATGACAAAGATAAGTCGCATGAGATAGCTGTCCAAAACTCAGTTTGTCAAATACAATGGACCTACAATGTAATGCATACCCGCTTGCTTGCCAGAGCTGCAACTTCTGATCCAGGTCATTGCGCAACAGCATCTACTTGCAGAGAACCCTGTCGAATCTTGCCACATGCTGGTAGCAGCTAGCTGGAAAATTTAGACTGGGAATTGAATGCAGTCAGATCGAACACAAACCGAAGTCAAACAGACATTAAATTTCAAACGGGATGTGGGATGCTGTGTATGGTGTGTGGCTGTTGAAAGTTTGTGAATGGCTTAAAGTTGTAAGGCTGAGTTGCTCCTGGCGTCCCATGCCGTGAAGCATGTGACCAAAACGCCAGGCTCAACATACGATAGTGTGGAGTCATTTGGTTATCACACAGCTTACATGTCAATGTCTTTATTAACCTTTATGAGTCTCAAGCTTCGTGCGTGGAGCTTGCCATGCTGCCAGGTGGTGTTTCCTCTGAGCCGCCAGTCGCAGAGACACAGTCACAGCCAGAGTCACCGTTGGCCGAAATTTCCGAGTCTGATTCAGAGAAAACTCTGACGCTGCCAGGGGGTTTGGATTGAAATCCAAACGTTTTGAACACAACAAGCTTCCTGCCACGCGGAAAATGAAAATCACGGCCCTGCTGCCTTTAGGCTTCTTGGGTGATCGCAGTCTTGAAAACATGGCAACTTAAAAGCACACTAGCGGGCCCTTGTCCTCAGGGGCATTTTTCTGGGATAATTCCAGCAGTCACACCAGAAAGTCTTTTTGTATTATGCTAACTGCTACTGCTACTGCCATCCTTGTGGACATGCCATCCTTGTGGACAAAAATTACGATCAGAAAGGAGAAACTTTGAGTTTACTGTTTACTGTCTGTATTTAACATGTTCATGAGGAGAAAAGGGATTATTTGATGCCAGTTCTTCACCGTATTATCGTTATTAATAATGGCTGGGTGTTGCCCACTACATACCTCAGGATTAATTTCTTGACAATGAGCAAAACTTCAAGGTCGACTC